CTGGCTCTGGTTCGGGAGTGAGTAAATCTCTGGAATCTCTCCCGTTAATACCCTTCTTCCCCATCCAGCCTTAGGACTCCATTGCAACGATCACACCCGTGCACATAAAGGAGACATTATCGAGTGGTCTGGAGCTCACAGAATCTTTCCGTGACTTTCCTTTTCAAAGCGTTAAGAAAAAAAAAAAACTCGTCTTGATTTTCTTTGTTTTCCCAAATGCAAAGGTTCTGAGTGAGAGACTATAAAACTTAAAACCGCAGAAATGCTCGATTCAGGGAATTAGAAATGTATCACCACTGTGCATGCGGTACCAGAAGCCTATGCTGAACACAATCTATGTGCCAGGAGCTACAAATTAAAATCGTGTTTAAACAAATTACGTTACATTGTAAATATGAAAGTGGCGGTCTTTGGAGGCGTCATTGAGAGCCCAGCTTGGCATTCAGCACTCCTGGGTTCTAATCTAGGCTCTGAAATATCACTTGCGTGCATCACTTCCCCTGGGTGGACTTCCATAGTTCCCCTGGAGCATAAGCTAGCTGAGGCCTTCCTTGCAGTGGCAGAGATTCAACCAGGCTGTGCATAAATAACCCAAATAGCTAATAGGACCTGAGTGCTTACTATATGTAAGTGCTGTGCCTGAATCATCTCATTTTATCCTCCCAACAAACAGGAGCAGAAGTGGGTTTGTTACTTTTTATTTAATAGTTTATTATTGTTTAGAAGCTAATAAAAAGTAAGCGTCAGGATCCTTCACTTGCACGGTCCCTTAACAAACGGTGGTATTCGTAGTGTTTGTCAAAATGTGTCATTTGCTGTGATTTATTTATCCTTCTAAATAAATGTTTATTTTAGCACTTTTAGCATTTAGCATTTTTCTTTAAGAGGGCTTTGCCCATTATATAAACTTGACTCCTCTCTCAAAACTTAGATCCACCACTGCCTATGAAGTAGGAACCATTAACAACGCCATCTTGCAGGTGAGGAAACGGAGACCCAGAGAGGTTAAGTTACTTGCCCAAGTACACACAGCCAGTAAGTGGTGGGATCCAGATCTGAACCCAGGCAGTCTGGTTCCACTTGGGGTGCTCTTAACCATATACTTTATTGCTTCTTATTATTTCTACATAGAGCTCCTAGCAAACTCTCCCTGACACTCAACACTTGGTGCCTACTATTATTCTGTAAATTAAAAACTGCTTTTGTAATAATGGGAATGCAGCTCCATCCTTAGTTAGAGAAACCATGTCAGTTTGAGGGACTTCCCTGGTGGTCCAGCGGTTAAGAATTGCCTTCCAATGCACAGGACGCGGGTTCGATTCCTGGTCGGGGAACCAAGATCCCACATGCCGCTGGGCAACTAAGCCCGCGAGCCCGCGTGCCACAACTACAGAGAAGCCCGCGAGCCACAATGAAGGCATGACACAGCCAAAAATAAATAAATAAATATTAAAAAAAAAAAAAGAAACCATATCAATTTGAAAGCAGGCTGATTTTATACAAGAGTCTTGCTTTTTAATATTGATTTCCTGAAAGATTCTTTCAAAGCTGAATTAGTCTAAGTGTGGTCCATGCATCACCTGCATCAGGATCATCTGGGTCCCACCCAAACCTAGTGGATGGAAACTGACGGGGGTGGGACATAGGAATCTGAATGTTTAAAGAGCCCCCTGAGTGTCCTTCTGCAAGATGAAGTTTGAAAACCACTGCAAATAGTGGGTTTATTACACTACGGGTAACACTGTTTACAGATGAGGTGGAGAGGGAGGAAGGCACTTGAATCTAGGATATTATTAGTAATATTTTCAATTAAAGGTATATAACAAGCTAATAGGCAAGCTGCAACACAAGCTAATAGGCAAGTTCAGGTACATTAAAATTTACATATTCATTGACATTTAAACATTGTTCACCAAATACCATATGATATCACTTATATGTGGAATTTAAAACTGGACATAAATGAACCTATCTATGAAACAGAAGAGAATCAGGGACATAGAGAATAGACTGGTGGTCGCCAAGGGGGAGGGATGGTGGGAGAGGTTTGGATTGGGAGTTAGGGATTAGCAGATGCCAACTATTATATACAGAAAGGATAAATAACAAGGTCCTACTGTGTAGCACAGGGAAGTATGTTCAATATCCTGTGATAAACCAGAATGGAAAAGAATATGAAAAAGAATGTAAACATATATATGTATAACTGAATCACTTTGCTATACAGCAGAAATTAACACATTGTAATTCAACTATACTTCAATAAAAAATAAAATTTAAAAAAATTGTTCACATATAATTTTGAAGACCATAATTATTGAGACCAAAGCACTAACTGCATTGCCAGGCACCATTCTAAGTTCTAAGTCTATTAACTATTTTAATCTTCAAAATCCTTTTAATTAAGTAATCGCAACATCCCCATTCTCAAGATGGGTAAATAGGGGCTCACAGATGTTAATTAACTCCCCAGTAAGTGCAGAGCCAGGATTCAAACCCAGGAAGTCTGGTTCTGGAGCCTGTGCTCTCAAATCCTACATGTCATACATACACACAGATTTTTTTAATAGAGTATAAAAAGGTAAAATCGCAAATTTTCACAGAATTTTATATTTGGAGTCTTTTCTGATTTAGTCATTTTCCAGATGAGTAAATAGTGCCGTGAGTTGACGACCGCATGAAGTCACTAAAATGGGCTAAACCTGTGTTCTTCTATTCAGGGAAGTTCAGTGTTAAGCCTACTTGGACTTGCAGATGTCAGAGCTTTAATCCCTCCTCGCAGCTCATAAACAGAATCTTTGTTTCAGTGCTTCCCACACTCTTCTCCCTCCACCCCCTAAAAAAAGTTTTAAGATCTTTACCCTAAATTCCTACCCTCAGCATTTCAGCTGCCCAAGCCTGACAGCAGCCACCAACATTAAGTGCTGACACCGTTCCCAGCACCTTAGGTGTATTAACTAGCCAATCCTCATCACCCTGTTCTCTCCCACTTTTCACAGAATTGGAGATTGAAGCACCTAGGACCTCGCTCAGCGTCACAGAGCTGGTAAGTGCCAGAATCAGGAATCGAGCCCAGGCACCAAGTCTATGCCCTTAACCACTGACCAAAACAGCTACCATTTCTTGAGCACCCACTGTATACCAGGTCCTTTACATAAACTAGCAGCTGGATCCTTACAAGTATGCTCAAGAGGAGGTGTGTTTCGTGCTGTGATGGACAGTAAAGGAAGGCTCAGAGAAGGTAAGCAGCTTGTCCAGACCACACAGCTGTAAAGGGCAAAGGAGAGACCAGCCTTTCTCTCTGGATCCGAAGCCTGCATGTTTCTCCTCCACCGAACAGCCTCCTGGAATTTTTATGGGTTATTCCTCCTGATAGTCCTACAAGAGAATGACCGTTTCTTCCATTTCACAGATAAGCACATCCTTGAGGGAGTGTCAACATGAAAGTAACTACGGGATGTTTAGGTAGATTCTGTTTTCCAGATCTGCTCTTCAAACCAAGGTGCTGGGAAAGGGGACACAAAGTATACTTGCTTATCTCTTCTTCCCATCCTGTGAAAGCATGCTATCAGCTAAACAATTTAAATACGTGTGTGTAAACAGCACCAGGAGACATAGAAATGCACTGTCTACTTTAGAAATGCAGTCTACTTTAATCAGGACAGAGCCATTTCTCCCTATAAGGTCTGTACTTTGAAAACTGTTCCAACCTGTTTTATACTCTTCAAAGAGCTTTCCTATCCATGGGGCATTGTACTGAGATTTCATATTTGCAGGTTTCATTCACCTGTGAGGTTAAGCCATTTTAAAAACCCTGCAGATACACAGAATATTAACCAGGGTAACTGAGACCCTTTGGTTCTTGATCCTCTGCCCATCATCTGGCCACCTTTAAACTGCTAAAGCATTGATAAGAACCTGATGGAAAGTCGCGTTCTCCCGGTTTTCAGATGGGAAAAGCAGAGGCTTCCAGGAGTTTGGAACTTTTCCTATATGTGCTTTCTCTCTGGAACAACTAGGAACCGACAGCAACAACACACTACCCCACACACGAGTCTTAAAGAATCCTGTAGTTAACTTGGGACTCTGGCTCAGAAATGAACAACAAAAAACTAGCAGAAACCCGCGCAGGTAACAGGAGCCAAGGAGATTTGGTTCTGCAGGACTTTGAAGTGGCAGACACAATTCTGCAAGAAACTTCGCCAGCCAGACGCTCTCCTCGAGGGACCAGTAGATGGGGAAGTTCCCGAGCAGAAGGCTGGGGACAGAGAGGAGGTGGAGGGACGATGTGACAGGAGATGGGGGTGAACCCTCCCTCTCTCGAGTCCAGGATCCCGTCCGGCAGCCACGCACCCGAAGGAGGCGGTGGGAAAGGGCGGCAGCCCGCGTCTGGGGCCCGCCTTGGGCCCCCCCGAACTCCACTTACTTGCTCCGAAGTGTCCCCCCAGCTCTGCACCTCTTCCAACGACCCCGCGCAGAACGGCAGGGCCAAGCACAGCCCGAGCAGCGGGAGCATGGCGGGGCCGGGGCGGTGGCACTGGGACGCGGCGGGACGCGCGGGGTACAGCGCGGGGTACAGCGCGAGGTGCAGCGCTGGGCTCGCGGCTGCGAACGCGCGCGGCCCCGCCCCCGCGCCCTCTTGCCCCGCCCCCGCGCCCCACAGGCCCCGCCCCCCGCACGCCCCGCCCGGGCCCCTCACCACCACAGACACCGCCCCACCGCGCACCTCCCGCCCGCGCCCCGCGCACCCCTCCCCGGCCCCGCCTCCGCGACCTCCGGCCCCGCCCCCACACCCTTCGGTCCCTCCCCCTCGCCCCTCAGACCCTGCACTCCCGCGAGACCCCAGCCTCCGGCCCAGCACTCCCGCGACACCCGACCCCGTCCTGCCCAGCGCTGCTGCACCCACGCCGGTTACCCCCCCCCCCCCCCGCCCAGAGCGCACAGCTCACACCCCCTCCCTTGTCCCCTTCCCCTCCACCCATAAGCCCCGCCCCTCCCTCGGCTTTTTTGCCTCCCTTTTCCACCCAGCGCCTGTGGCACCTCCCTCCACCTCCAAGACCCCGACCGACCCTCTCTTCCTCTCCCGCCTCTTCATGGACTCACTTCATTCCTGTCGCAGGAGAACACGGTAAGGGCCAGCCTGACCCTCGGTACACAGCCCACCCGTTCACCTGCTATATATACCCCCCATATGTACCACCCTCCCACTGCTAATATATACCACCCCCTCACCTACTGTATGTACCGCCACCATTCCCCCACCTGCCAGCCTAAAGGCAACAAGAGACCTTCAGCCTTCTTCTGAGAGAACAGCGCATTCCCCTTGGCGTCCACTCTGAAGCTCACAGGCCCAATGAAGGGGTGCTAATTTGTAGTCTAATGCAGAATGGCATTAGCAACGTGGTCCCGTTTTATGTGGCTCTGGCATAAAGGAACAGAAAAGAGGAAGCTAGGATTGGCACCATGTCGTAGTATTTCTTATTTTTTGGTTGTTAATCATGAAAGTGAATGTCATTGTTATCATAGTTACAAACTATCGGTGATGTTTCTGTCCTGTCATAGATAGAATAATTATCTGGCACTCACCCACTGACTGGCCTTTTAGAGTCTGGGCTCCATCTTTTTTTTTTTTTTTTTTTTTTTGTGATACGCGGGCCTCTCACTGTTGCGGCCTCTCCCGTTGCGGAGCGCAGGCTCAGTGGCCATGGCTCATGGGCCCAGCCGCTCTGCGGCATGTGGGATCCTCCCGGACCGGGGCACGAACCCGTGTCCCCTGCATCGGCAGGCGGACTCTCAACCACTGCGCCACCAGGGAAGCCCTGGGCTCCATCTTTGTACCTGGTAGACACACAATGAGCTGGAGCTGTTTGTTTCCTCTTCCAAAAGACAAGCACCTCAAAGACATTTTTTATGTCTCTGTAAAAATTGCATCTAAATCAATACACTGAGTAATAGAAGTTGGCATCAATCTCAGTGGCCAAGAACAGGGAAATGGTTAACTCAAATGATGGAACGTCCATCCTGTGCAATGTTATGCAGCTATTAAATAATAATCACGAGGTCTATGGAAACAGGGAAAATGTTTACAGCATAATCTAAAGGAAAAAGTCAGATATGCATGGACATCAGAAGCAGGGAAAAATGAAAACAGTGGGTAGGTTAGCTTATGGTGATATCTCTTTTTAAAATATTTTATTTACTCTTGTTGAAATGCTGATTGTTTAAACAAAGACATTAAGAGAGGGGGAAATGTTGCTATGGTGAAATAAATGAAAGGAAGATCATTGTCATTAGCAGTTGAACATTTAATAGCCCAACCACTGACTAATTTTAAAAAATGCCGCCAACATGAAGTGACAGTAGCTGGTCCAGCTGGGTTTCTGCAACAAAAACACTGGTAAAGGAGAAGGAAGTCAAAGGATTTTTATTTTTAGTTCTTTACTAACCGTGAGTTACAGATGTATCCCAGGCGCACTTAGAAACTTTGCAGCGTACAAAGCCTGCCTACCCCCCTCCTCATTTTAAAACTAAGGAGGAGAGCCCCAAACCTGGAATCAAGGTTTGCCTATTGCCCCCCCACACACCTCCTCGCCGCCAAAGGGAAATACCTACTGGTGAACTGAAAGTTGAATTTGGACAAAGCCAGGTTATTTGAAAGGAAACAGTAACAGCTACTGTTATTTCCATCAATCCTCCAACAGGACTGGGACCCAGTCTTTGTCTTTCTACCACCCCTCTCCTACTGGACTCTATTTTTGACCTTGTATCTGCCCTTTGTCCCAATTTGCCCCAGCTGGTTTCAGCAGAGGTCAAACAGTCAAGAGAAGGGTTTTATTTTCTTCATCTGGTAGGACTCTCCAATTGTACTCTAGGCTGTGGTGCTAGTGGTTGTTACTTTGTTTTGTGGCCCCTTTGACCAAATGGATCCCACCTTCCCTGAGGGCAAGCATCTTCCACAACTTGTAGCACTGTGCTGAGGGTACAGTTAGCGTTGAAGAAGCATTCCGTGAATGGAATTAGGAGACTGGAGGCCTGAGGGTGCCCCCCACCCCTGCCGCCAAGCTGGCTGTGCTGAGGCAGGGGAGGCCTGGGCTGTATTCACTTTCTAGCTATGTGACTTGAGAGAGTTTCTAAACTTCCTCGTATTTGCAGACTGTAATAGCCTAGGCTTCTGTGTGATGTCAGAGCATCTGCACGACCAGATAGGGATGATCTTTAAAAACTAGGTAGTGTGATACAAATAAAACACAGTGAGACTTCCCTGGCGGTCCAGCGTTTAAGACTTTAGCTTCCAATGCAGGGGGTGCAGGTTAGATCCCTGGTCAGAGAGCTAAGATCCCACATGACTCGCTGCCAAAAAAACCCACAAAAAACCCAAAAGAACCCTGTGAAAGGTTTATAAAACTCTTGATAAGCATAGACAGTGATTTATATTGACCTTATAAATATGGATGAAAAAAAAATTAACTGTCCTCCCCCAAAAGGGGCTGAGGTATCCCCGTGCATGTGTCCTTTGATGTCAGGAGTTGCTGACTTTGCAGTTTGAGACCACAAAGCTTCTAGAACCTCAAAGCCAAAACCCTATCCTGACTTTTCCAAGGAGACACGTCATGGGCTTACCAGGCCCACACTCCAGTTAGGCACAAATCTCCAGCCAGGACCCAGGTGCTCATTGGCAGAATCTGGGTCCAGGGCTCAGCAGCAAGGGCTTCATAGTGCAAGAACGAAGAGGAGCTGCCGGTCAGAGAGGCCCCCGTGCCGGCTCTTGCCAGGAAATGGCTCCCCTGTGTAACTGAAGGATGGGCCAGGGATTCCAGAATTTTAGAATCAGACTCATTAGAGTTAGGGGCTTTCCCCTGGTCCCCCACTTGAGACCACCAATTGATGGGCCCAGCTAGCGTAGCCAGGGCAGAGACTGAAGAGGGAAGGCAGGCTGTCCATTTGGTTTCTTTTCTTCTCCCTTGAATTTACCCCCGAGGGTCACCCCCTGGTCCCTCTATCCAGCTGCTCTGAGATTCAAACCCTTCCTCCGGCCCCCACATCAGTCCCTCCCTTGTCTGTGTTCCTTTCTGAGTGTTTGCAAGGCTATTGTTCTCTTCTGGGCCAGCTCTTTCTCACCTCCCTGGTCTCACCTTTTTATCTACTTACATGGCCTTGTGTTTCTCCTGGACCCCTGACAACTTTGCATAATCCTGACAGTTTCTTACAACTTGTCTTTTTTTTTTTAATCAAAACGACTGGGGAGGAAACGGATTCATTTTGGCCTTGGCTCCACGGTTTCTCAGGAGCCCCTGATATCTTGGGAGTCTCGTTATACCCACTGTTCACCTAGTTTACAGACAGTGAGTTTTACCCAGACAGAAGATTTGTGAAACTGGAAGCAGAGAATACAGTTTTCCAATTTCTTCTGATTGATGATTTGCTGAATTTATCAACTATTCACAAAGTGTAACACATCATATTTTATTTTAATTATCTGCTTAGAGATTTGAGACCCTAATTAGACTTGATTTGCTCATGGGCAAGGATTGTCTCATGCTCATTTTTATATTTGCAGTCTGCCTGGAATAGAGTCGACATGCAGTGCGTTTGATGGATGGTTGAAAGAATGTGTTTCTGGCTTTATGATGCCCTGTGCTAGCTGTGTTATAACAGGGATTTTAGACACGGTCCACAACCTGGAAGAACTTACCATTTAGATATGAAGGTGGAACTAACAGACAACATAATTTGAGCTCAGTGGTGAGATGCTAAGTGGAGAGGAGGGTGAGATTGTGATTGTGGTCTAGAATAATTAGAAAAGGCTTCGGGGAGGAAGTGGAAATTATTCTTTGCGTGAATCAGATTTGAAAGCCAGGTGGAGAAGACAGGGCATTAAGGAGACAGGGGAAGGAGAAGGTCCAAGAGTGGAAAAGGCTTTGACATAGGGGAAAAGAACACAGAATGCTGGGGGAAAGGTCCAAGTTTGGGGAGTTACCTGTAGAATGTTCCTGAGCTAACAGGTGGGAAAGGAGATCTCAGTAGTCCCCAAGGGCAAACCTGCAGACCAGTGCAGGCTCGTGACAACGTTTTCTCCAGCCCCTTGCAAAAGGAGATAAATAAATGGAGGCGTTATGGTGTATTTTTTTCATCAAGCTAATTTTTTTTAAAGAACTGTCCTTGTCACTCCTATTAGTGATAGTGTCACTCCTATTAGTGATAGTGTTTTTGTCACTCCTATTAGTGATAGTGTCTCACTGGGGGTCCTTGGGTGAGAAGAGTATGTCCCCAGGGGTGGTGCAGTGGAGGAGGTGGTGAACCAGAGCCTCAGGAAGGCGTTGGGGGGAAAACTTGCCATTTGAGAAATCTCCCAGATGATTCTGAAATCCCGCCCACACCCTCCACAAACGGTACCGTATACCTAGATGTTATAAAAATTATTACTGTTTCAGTGACCCATGCTTGCTGCCATTATTAATACTATAAAATGAGTAGTTAAATATATATATATTTTGCTTTTTCGAATAAACCTTTCATGTTAATGAAACTTTAAAAAATACATTTTTACTTGATAAACATGTGGTCTAACCTCATGTAAGGAAAAAGTACAATTTCAAATCAAATCAACTTGACATTTCAGTACAGCCAGGTAAAAGTGAGCAACCAGTTGTAAATCAAGTAACTTGTTCTTAGTAAACCATTAAAGTTAAATTAAATGGCTCATTGCCACATGCTGTATTGATAGGTTATGTTGTTTAGGAATCTGACAGAGAGATTTACACAGCCTCCAAAGCTCTCAGTGTAAATTAGGCTCAATAAACATTTCATGTGATGCATTATGCATTTGAAAGAGCACACATACCTTTTAAAAAATTTATTTTAGGGCTTCCCTGGTGACGCAGTGGTTGAGAGTCCGCCTGCCGAGGCAGGGGACACGCGTTCATGCTCTGGTCCGGGAAGATCCCACATGCCGCCGAGCGGCTGGGCCCGTGAGCCATGGCCACTGAGCCTGCGCGTCCGGAGCCTGTGCTCCGCAACGGGAGAGGCCATGACAGTGAGAGGCCCGCGTACCGAAAAAAAAAAAAAAAAAAAAATTTATTTTATTGAAGTATAGTTGATTTACAATGTGTTAATTTCTATTGTACAGCAAAGTGAGTCAGTTATACATATATGTATATTCTTTTTCATATTCTTTTCCATTATGGTTTATTACAGGATATTGAATATAGTTCCCTGTGCCATACAGTAGGACCTTGTCGTTTATCCATTCTATATATGATAGTTTGCATCTGCTAATCCCAAACTCCCAATCCACCCCTCCCCCACCCACCCCCTCCTTGGCAATGACAAGTCTTGAGAAGAACACACATGCTTTTTAATGACACCCGCGCTGTGGACTCCCTACCTAGGATTCATCTGGGCTAAGTGACTGTGATGCCAGTCTGTAGTTACATATATGTAGAGCTCTCTATAGATTTACGTGGTAGGCCCACCAATGAAAAGCCAAAGAAACGTAACCCTCTGGCAGCAGTCTCTACCAGATCTGGACATCCATCTACTCTTTGACCCATCAGTCCCACTTTGGGGGATTTATCATGCAAATAAACCTGCTCACTGTATAAAATGGTGTAGGTACAAGGTTATTCATCACAGCATTGTTTGTAATGCCCAGAAACTGGAATGAATCCAAACGTTCATTAACAGGAGTCTGGTTAAATATAACATGATATCATGAAGCTGGAAGAAAGGATGAGGCAGCTTTCTCTGTGTTGCTATAGAAAGATACCCAATATATTATAAAATTAAGAAAAAAGCGCAAGTGTAGTGTGTGCCATCTTTAGTGTTAGAAAAGAAGAAGATCAGAAAGCATATTCATAATCCCTTGTATTTGCATAGAGAAATTCTAGGAAGCATAAACAGAAGAAGCGTGTTTGGGGAAGGCAGAATGGTGGGAGGGTGGGAACAGGTCAGAATCCAGGAGAGGAAGGGAAAAATTTTGTTTTTACACATAATATTTGATTTTTTTACTTTTGAACACTGTGAATATATTACCTGTTCGGGCTTAATTGATCAATTAATTTAAAATTGTAGCTGCAACAAAAACAACAATAATAATGGAAAAGCTGACTCCTGAGGGTTCTCTCACATCAGACTTGATCTCACTTGGGCTTGTTGGGTTAATGCTAACCTCAGTAGCACACATGGGAGGGACCTGTACGCCCCAAAACACATACACACATACACACACACACACACACCCCCCACACTCAATGACTCTGGTTTCCTATACACTCCCTTGTTCTGTCTTTCTTCCTTGCTTTGCACGGAATGCATTCCACTGACTCATCAGGTTGGTGAGTGCTATTTGCGCCTCTAGTAGAGACCTCATCTCTTTGTTTACACGTCTGTCTTCCTTACTAAACCAAGACCCAGCGGAGGGCAGGCTCTGTGTTCTGTTCATCTTCGTATGCTTCGTCAGCCCCCAGCATGTCCTCCAAGCTTGAGAAATATTTATTGACTCAGTAAGGAAGACTCAGAATGGCCTGCTCTTCACGGTGTGCCTTTCATTGGGAATTTCTACCACACCAGTCTGCATGGCCATAAGACCTTAGACAAAGTGTTTACCTCTGGGGGTGAATATTTTCCAAGAAAAAGCAGAATATTGACTTTCAATGGCTGAAAATGTTTTTAGCCCACAGTTATCTCTCTTTATTACTTATTCATCTTTGTGAGAGTTATAATTAAAAGAACAGGGGAAAGACAACTGAATTTGACCCTCAATATAACATTCTATCCGATGTTTAATCTTCTCTGAGAGGATTAGATCCTGATGGGCTTGAGTTCTCATGGTGAGAGAAGTGAGTTCTAATCTGTCACTTTCCCCACTCCTACCTCTATTTTTCTATGCTGGAGACCCTTGCCCCTTCAAAGATCCCCCCCAAAAATCTGCTCTCAGAAATTGCTATCATCTTTCTCCAAACATACGGACTAAAATCATCGCCTTCCCTTGAAAAGTTTTAAGGATTATATGTAGTAATATATTTTTATTATTCCCGAGGTCATCAGAAGGCACAACTAGCATGAATTTGGCCTTATTTCCTGAAATGCACACACACGCAAAAAATCAAAGCCAGTTCCTCACTCTTCAGCATTAGCTGTGGATGGCTGTCTTTACTTTTCTGCATCTGTGTTAAAGAGTAATTCAAAGCCAGGCAAATCATTCTGAAGAAATATTTGTCCATTGAGCAATGGTTTGTCTCTGTAGAAGTGCTCACTAAACACTGAACAAGCTCAGTGCAAAGTTAGGAATTAATCTTATCTTTTGGAAGAATGCCTAGGGCCCCGAGAGGTGTCCTGGTTTTCTGGGATTTAACCGGGGACCACAGAAGACTTGAAATAGCACAGAGGCTTTGCTGATGCTACAACAGGGACAGAGGATCAGTTCAACCTGCCTCAGTGCCCAACGTGAATGCCCCACCAGGCTTTTTCTTTCTCTCTCAGGCACTGAAGATGGAAAAGCCAGCAAAACTTGGAGTTCATCCACAGTGTGAGTTTTCTCCCTGATGACCTGCTGGATCCTTTCCAGACAGATGTTGGGAGATGTCCAGAGAACTTCACTGAAAGCCACAGGTGTGTCTTTGGAAGGGTTTTGACTAAAGCAAAACATTGTTGGGTTTGTGGTTGATGCCAAGAGATAGATCACACTCTCTAAAATCAAGACTTAACAACAGAGCTGTCATCGAGTTTTTTCTCCGGTGCTCACAGGCTTGCTGCCTGGCTGGTGAAGAAGAAATTCTCTTGTCTCTATAACACATGCAGCAGGTTTGAATCTCACAGGTGCAGACTTGCTGAACCAAAATATGTAATCCTTTTTACCCTGTATCTCAAGGTTTTCTCCATACTGAGTTCCCAACCTCCTGTGTAGAACAAACTTTACTCTTGCCTGTTCATGATAAACCATCCATATGGGTCTTTTAAAAATCAAATTACTGTTTTCTTAGTCAATTTAGGGTTCTTTGCCTTCCTTCCTCTCCGTTGGATGGGTCCTAAGTTCCATCAAGTCATTAGGGAATGGATTGGGGGTATAAGGAAGGGTCCACTGGTCCTCAGTCATCACCTGTGTTAGACCGAATGTTTGTGTCCACCTAAAATTCATATGTTGGAGCCCTAACCCCCAATGTGATGGTATTTGGAGGTGGGGCCTTTGGGAGGTGATTAGAGTGAGATAAGTCATAAGGGTGGGGTCTTCTCCTAATAAGAAGAGGAGGAGGTACCAGAGCTGTCTCTCTCTCCACCCTATGAGGACACAGTGAGAAGGCAGCTGTCTTCAAGCCAGAAAGAGAGCTCTCACCAGGAACCGAATCTTCCAGCACCTTGATCTTGGACTTCCAGCCTTCAGAACTTGAGAAATAAATGTCTGTTGTTTAAGCCCCCAGTCTGTGGAATTTTGTTACAGCAGCCTGAGCTGACTAATACACCCATTAATGTTGGCACATGCATCATCCCATCTGGTTGCCAGGGTTTAGGGATGCAGGGAAGGGCTGAGCGATGGAGGGATTGGGTGTAACTATAAAGGAGTAACAGTTCAAGGGACATCTTTGTGGTGATGAAACTGTCCTGTATCGACTGTGGTGGTCGTTATACACATCTACATGCGTGATATAATTGCAAAGAACTGACCCCCCTTCAAACATACACACACACACACACACACACACACACACACACACACAAGTGCATATAAAACTGGTGAAATCTAAGGCTGTGGATTGGACCAATGACAATTTCCCTGATTTTGATCTTGTGCTATAATTATGTGAGATGTTACCAACAGGGAAGCCGAGTTAAGGGTATGTGGGACTCCACTATTCAGTAAACGTGCCCTGCTCGACTGGCTGATTAGTTTACTATAAGGAATTATCCACATCTTCTGTTTTCTAAGTGCAGCTCCTGAATAAGACTTAGAAGTGAATCTCTCTTGGGTATTCATGCGTTTTATGTGTTGTATGTCAGAATCAATAATTTTAATACGTGGCGATGCCAGCGTTTTTGGAGGGAACACTGCATGGTTGACTGGTGATATTAGGCATGTGCTAATGCAGTGCCACTACAGTAGAGCTCCTGTGATTATTCTAGAATGACACAGGAGTTCGTATCCACCCACTGCCTGGTCAGTGTTGTACTGTTCTTGATCCCTATTTTGCCCAAGGGCCTTTGGATCACCTCAAAATAGGTGAGCACCTTTCGCCATCTAGTGGAGACACATATAAAAATATTTCCAGTTATTTACGGCTGCGATTGGCAGATCCACACCTTCCAAAAGCCACTTTGGTTAGACTTAGGAATCGCGGTAAAAACAGAAACTTCGAATTAAACTAAAATCTTTTCCCCAGTAAGCAGGCGCTCTAGAATCATTCTTTCAGACTCTGCCAGACTGTTCTTCCTGATTTCGCACAGCAGCTTCCTACTGAAAATGGACAGAAGACCTAAATAGACATTTCTCCAAAGAAGATATACAGATTGCCAACAAACACATGAATGCTCAATATCATTAATCATTAGAGAAATGCAAATCCATACTACAATGAGGTATCATCTCACACCGGTCAGAATGACCATCATCAAAACATCTACAAACAATAAATGCTGGAGAGGGTGTGGAGAAAAGGGAACCCTCTTCCACTGTTGGTGGGAATGTAAATTGATACAGTCTCTATGGAGAACAGTATGGAGGTTCCTTAAAAAACTAAAAATAGAACTACCATACGACCCAGCAATCCCACTACTG